AAGCTTTGTGCAAATTCACACTGTGCAAATTCACACTTTGTGGTTTTTGTTTTTTTCGCCTACAACTATTTAACCCCTTAAGGACCATACTGTTTTTGCGATGTTGTACATTTGTGGCCAGGCCTCTTTTTACACTTTTGTGGTGTTTGTGTTTAGCTGTAATTTTCTGCTCTCTCATTTACTGTTCCCATACAAATTATATATTTTTCTTTTCAGGACAAAAAGAGCTTTCTTTACATACCATTATTTATATAATCTCATGTAATTACATTTTTTTAAAAATAAGTTTTTTGACTTTTACTTGAAAAATCTTTTAATCATCTACAAAAAGCTAAAGAAATAAACTGCTAAATAGATTCAAAAATTTGTCCTGAGTTTAAAAATACCCAGTGTTTACGGGCTTTTTTGCTTTTTTTTTGGAAGTTATAGGGCTATAAGTACAAGTAGGATATTGCGGTTTCAAAACATACATTTTTTTAAATGTATCAATAGCGACATTGTAACACTATTATCTGTCATAAATCTCTGGAAAACACCCCACATGTATATATTTTTTTTAAAAGTAGACAACCCAGGGTATTCATCTAAGGATATTTTGACATTTTCTATGCAGCCATTTTACCACCAGTCTTCGCATAGTTAGTTTTTTGTTTTTTTTCACATACATTGCAATTCAGGTTTAAACTCACAGATCCTGTTATGTGTTGCTGCCAAAAAACACACTAATATGTGTTCAGCAACATCTCCCGAGTACAGTGATACCACCCATGCATAGGCTTTTTGGATTGTTAGGGGGCTAAAAGGCCACATTTGGCAGGTGTGCATATCCATTTTCCAACTTGGAATTTTGACATGTAGTAAACCTGCGCCCCTGTCCTATTTGGGCCAATGTATTTTACCCCCATCAAATCATATATTTTTGAAAAGTAGACAACCCAGGGTATTTAAATGGTGGTATTTTAACACTTTCCACGCACTAATTCTACCACCAGCCTTTGTCAAACTTTTGGGTAGTACAGTGATATCACCCATGCATAAGTTTGCTGGGTTATTTGGGGGCTAAAAGGCCACGATCAAGACTTGTACATGTCAGTTTTCCAACTTGATATATAGGTATGCTTGGCCTATCTTCAGTTTGGCATATGTTTGCATCCCCCAGCTAATGATAACATCACAAAAGTTTTAATTTTTATAAAGTAGACATTCCAGGGCATTGTATATGGGGTGTTTTCACATCCTTCCCCCCAACCATTATGCTAAACAAATTTAAGAGAACGTGCATGGTGGTAATTTTTTAATTCTGCTTTTTATGCACATGTCATTTGGTTTTGGCCAGCCAGTTATATGTTACTGCCAGAAAACTTTTTTAACCAAATGTGCAGGTATCAAATGCACCTTTAGCAGTATTCTCTAAACGAACGCCTGCAAAAAGAATCTAACTAGAGATTTGGGGGAAGGAAACTCACTAACTAAAATTTGCTGCTTTCAAAAGAAAAAAAAACAGTGCAAAGGGGTGTCTGTCCTTTTCCCTTTTTTATAACAGACCCGGCAACGTTTCAGGGGATTTGTTTTTTTTTGCAGTTGGCGGTATCTTAAAAATAAAATGTCTGGACTCCTCTGGCACCGTTGTTGTACCTTGACCATCTCCATAAATTATTGTGGAAATCAGCTTGAGCTGAAATTGGAAAAAGGTGGTTCTTCCTGGATTCATTTTTTTAAAGAATAAAAATGAATTATGTGTTGCTACCATTTTATACCAGGCCTTTGTCTTTCTTAAGATAAGATATGGCTGCATCAGCTGATCAGCCAAATCAACACCCTATGTGCCTGTTAAAAGCCCTGATGTAAACAGGTTTTGTCTGTACCCTGCCTCGGACAGTGACGTCTGACATGCTTTCGTCATGGATGGTTGTTAGCATGTGAACATCTTTCCTGTCCTTAAATTTTATTGCAAGCAGGTCAGCTTTGGGCAGAGCTTTGCATTGACCTTTTTTTAATTTGGCCTCTATGAGAGGTCTGGGGAAATCCTTGGCATTTCTTCTTACAGTGCCGCAGGCCAGTGCCAGTTATGCAAACCATAAAGAATTTTAAACAAGTGGACACTGCTGTAAAAATTGTCCACATAAAGGTGGTAACCCTTATTGAACAAGGGGATCAGTAGGTCCCAAACAAGTTTCCCACTTGTCCCCAGAGAGTCAGGACAGCCAGGAGGGTTCAGTTGACCATCTTTCCCCTCATATACACAAAAGGCAAATGTGTAGCCACTTTCACTCTTGCACAGTTTGTACACTTTAATGCCATACCTAGAGTGCTTTGAGGGGATATACTATTTGAACCCTAATCTCTCTTTATATTTCATTAACTATTCATCAATAGATACATTTTGTTGGGGAGTATAAACATCAGTAAATCTGTTCTGAAGATAGTCTACCAGTGGGAGTATTTTATGAAGCCTATCATATTGGGGATGATCTCTGGGGTGACAGAGGGTATTGTCGTTCAAATGTAAGTATCTCAGCAGCAGCTCCTATCTTGGTCTAGGCATTGTTTGGGAGAATATAGGAGTCGAACAAATTGTGTTGGTGCTCCAGTAAGAGCGGATTGATGGCTTCTTTATTATCCCCATGAGCATTGTAAGAGCCCAGAATCTTTTAAGTTCAGGGACATCTGTGGGATGCCAAGCATGCTCCCTGACTGTATAGCTACCTGGATTGGTCTCAGTAAATTGGCTAGTGTATAAATTAGTCTGGGAAACAATCTCCTCCCAGATGGTATCCCCTAAAAATAACTCCATATATTGTATAGGGGAGAAGTCATCCACATTCACATTAATGCCTGCGTTAGCACTAAAAGGGGGGATGTTGGGCTCAGCTAACTGTGGAGGTACCCAGTCCTCCACCACATTTCGCGTAGCAGGGGGAGCACAGGTCGTTTAAGCAGCTGGCTCACACACAGATGACATGTCACTAGACGTGTCGCTAAACTGACCTGGGTCAAAATCGGACGCAGTGTCAGTGGCGTCAGAGTCGGACGCCAAGAAGGCATATGCCTCCTCCAAGCTGTACATGCGCTGCATGTTTCACACTAACTGACTAAACGAACAAAATACTAAACAATTATTTATTTTTTTTATATATATATATTTTTTTTTTTTTTTCTAACAGACTAAAACAGTAATCCCTAAACTAACTCCTGTTAAAAGAATATAATGGAGATTTGGGGGAAGGAAACTGACTAAGACATAGTAAGACAGTCCAAGACACAGATTTTTAAAACACATTTAACCCTTAAGGACAAAAGAAAAAAAATATAGACAGTACAAAGGCACTGCTGTAACAGATTTGGCAGGGAAAGGGTAAAAATTATTTTTTTTAATTCACTTTATATACTGTATAAAGCTCTGGAATACTAGGCACCTCTCATGATCACAGGAATGCAATGACTTTTCATTACTTTTAGCTTTTTTTTCCCCCTATTTTGTTCCTTTTTCCCCCCTCTCTAATTCCTTCACTGTTGTGACTCTTGCTCTGTCGTTAGGTTTTGATTCAGTTACAATGGGTTACAGGGTTTATTTAGATATCGTCTTTCTGTATTTGTTTACAAGTATTTATGGAATAAAGCAACAGAACTGAAAGCTTTTTATTTTCCTTCCTAATTTCTGATGTTGAGTGACATGACACCATGTGGTGCTTGGCCAAATGCTTATGCACATTTATAAAACTTTAAACGTTTTACTACTATATTCCTATACATCACTGAGAGCACCATACCAACTATGGCAAAATGTAGTGTGGTGCAAAGACGCTATGGGTACCATCCCACAATATGGTAAGAACCAATTTGTAGCAGTTTCAAAAAGATTGGCCTCTCGACAGTCACACTGATAGTGTGGAAACTACACTTTTGCATTACCAATATCAATTTTGATATATGTTAGATTGAGTGATAAAGTGTAGATTTATCAAGTTGGCTAGAAAGGTGGTGGGCTACGGCAGTCTGACAAATTACTCAGCTGAGCTCGATCGTGATTACACTACCTCTTTACAGTCATTCCTTCATAAAGAGAAGCTGAAATGTTACCTTTACAAACAAAATTCATGCCACAATCACCGATAAATAGAAATACAAATGTAAGCCGGCTGCTTATATTTAGTATTATAATGGATTCCATGCCAATAACATACACAGAGTTACAAAACACGAAACTCGTTTTAATTATTAGGGATTACCTTAAACCAAATAAAAAACAAACACATCTTAGAAACGAGAAAAAAAAAAAAACTAACTAAAATGTGGTTTTATTTTGCAGATATGTTAAATGAACATTTCCCTCTTCATTACTTTAAACCGTCAAATACAACTAGAAAGCGCAACAGTTTAATTAAAACACACCTGGTACCCCAATCGACTTTTGGGGTTCCACTATAGCAAGTCCTGTTTCTGTTCTATTGAACACACAGCTGTGCGGGCTAAAATCACTCCATAGCTGCTTACATTTCACTGGCATTTTAATTACTCAGTTGTAAAAATTAGTAGATTTCCCTATCACAGCATATCATCCTTTCTGTTTTAATACCACAAATGATTCTGATACTGTGTGGCGCATTCAACAATATAGTATCATGTAAAAACTACAACATAGATAAGGGTGCGATTAAACTAAACAGAACAAAAACAAGAACACATTCCATAACTTTCTTTATCAAAAAACCTCCTGAATGTTATCTTGGGTTGATCATTGTCTTCTATGATCCTGTATGGAAGTGTCTGCGCATGTGTTAATTTTGGGCAGGAATATTGGCTACTTGCTCTGCTCACTAAAAGGTAAACATCAGGTATAAGGTAAATAAGAGGGATGTAAAGTAGGTTCCTTTCAGATTAAAAAATAAAATACACAACAAAAAATATTGCACATTTGAGACAATTGGAAAGGAATTTTCTATAGTACATATTGAGTAAAGTCCCTCCATGATAAAATCAAAGACCGATGATGCAGTGCCTCAGTCTTCATCCGAGCTATCGGACCCCTCGTCTTTAGCCACTTTCCAGTTTGTCCTCCTGCTTTTCCTCAATTCCATCTCGGTGTCTTTCTTGGGTTTTGATCGATGGTGGTGTTTCTGGCTTGTTTTTTTATGGCGTCTGCCTTTATGTTCCTCTGTCTCAGCATCTTCGGTGCTGCTCATCTCATCACTTGAATCGCTGTCTTGTCCAGATGAAGATGGCTGTTTTCTAGTGGCCTTTTTTCGAGTCTTCTTCTTGCGCTTAGATTTCTTTGGCTTTTCCATGGTGTCCTCTGAACTGTCACTCTCACTTGAGGTTTCTGTAGGCACCTCCAACTCCTTCTTTCTCTTCTTTAGCTTTTTGTGAGACCGTTTCTTCTGTTTCTTTTTATGGGTTTTCTTAGATCTCTTACGTTTATGAGACTCCTGTTCTTTTTGAGCTCTGCCTCTTGTCGTTTCCTGGCCGTTTGTTTTCCTTTTGTTGCTTTTTTCTTCTGTGTCACTGTCATAAAGAATAAATAAACACCAAGGTTAAATTGAGGGATTACATGAAGGTCAGCTGAAATAAAAGGTCATTTTCCCACCTGGTGTAATTTGGTATATTTGTCGTTATTTAAAAAGGACACTTCAGACACTAATACAACATGTAGATATTTTGTAGTTCCTAGCCTAAATAATTAGCTGTATTTTTGCATGTGTTCCACATCCCCCATTTTAAATTATTTCCTTTTTTCTGGTTAATGTACCAGTGTATGTGATGTTACAGCTTCATTTCTGCTCTTTCCTCCTAAGCTGCAGTGTCCAATAACACAGTTGTACGTGTCATCAGGAAGAAATTTCTGAGAAATCTATTTCAGATAACCGTTTTCATAATAAGAAATTAAATAGCTACTGATTGATCTGGACTCTAACCCTTGCAGTGCTAGGTTTAAGTTTTCCAGCAGTTCAGACGCTCCAGATTCATTTCTTTGTTAACATTTATTTTTTAGGGATTTATCTATATCATAGATTAAAAATGACATGGGGGTGACCTCAAGACTGGAGAATCCCTTTCAATTACTTGGCAATAGGAAATCCTTAGTGAATAAAGATGTTAATCACTCAATTACAGAGGGCATGCCAGGTCTGGTTTCATATCACAGGATTTGCATTGGACTACACCCTCAATGGGGTTAAATCACAAAAGCTATAACAGATCTATAAAACGGAATGCATGGGCAAATAATATAATAATAAAAAATATAGTAGTATTTAGCTTATAACAAGTTACAGTATTGCCATGCTGAACAATGATTACTGGATTCACCATGCAAATACTTTGTTTGCTAAAATATAGATAAATATAGATATGAAAAAAAAAAATCACAAATTATATTTTAAAAATGTGTGCAAAATAGCAGAGGAATCCCTGCACATATTTAAAATGACAGTAGGTTATAACTGCAACCGCCATTATGTATAAATTATACATTAAAAAAATATTTAAAAGGGGGGGAGAGGTTATGTGTTGCTTTTGGGTTTTAGTGAGTGTTATAATTCTCCCCCCCTCCCCCGTCACTTCCCACCCCCAAAAAAAGACCTCCAACGTTTTTATGATTTCGCACCAGATCATCTAGTTAGGAACCTGAACCCATCGTTTACAGCATCTGAGCAGCAGTTTCATGTGCATCCATTAGACAATGGTGCTATTTTGGCAATACCTGCTATGCTGCTGAATGTACAGGGTCATAGTAAGAGATGTTACCAGATACAATGGGAAAATCTGGAGTTTGAGATACTGGAAGAGCACTGGGGTATTATCTTTGTAATTTCTTCTAATATCATTGCTTGCACAACAGTCAAGGAAAGTGGTTAAAGGGTTCTGGTCCCATGTGTTTGCCAGTATATACAAGAAATTCTAAAGCTCAAATCCATGCATGCAGAACAGAAGTAAAATACAAACACATATTATGATTAGCTGGATGAAAAAAAAGGGCGTGCAGGTGGAAGATTAATTTTCACCACATACCTGTTTGAATCAAATTCCTCAGGATACAGTTCCTTGTACCCGCTGTGCCCCCATCTATAAAAAAAATAATTAGAGAAAGACAGATTCCGTCATGTGATTTACAGACTTGTTTTCCCATGAATTTAGAAATAAGCCAAAAGAAAGGTTTCTCCATGACTGGGTACAGTTATTCTGAATTATAATGTTTTAGACAATGTATTTAGTCATGTATTTGCCGTGAATATTTGATTGGTTTGATCCTCAAACTGACCCCCTTAAACAGCCTTGACAAACCTTACATTTCAAAGCAAAATATTAATAAACAGAACTAAAAACACATTTAACCCCAACCAAGCTACTGAGACTCACAGAGCAAGTACTAAGACGTACTGCAACAGAAGACACAGGTGCCATCTCAGAGTTTAACCTGGGACTGGATAGGCAGTTAACCACAATTTTCTTGTGCCTTTATGGAATGCGGGAGTTTACTTTACCTCGCCCATGTGCTCATGCTCTGGTTTGTACGACTTGTTGCAGATACACCAATGACGTGTTTATGACTATCACAACACTTCTACTGCCCCTGCTCATACTAGACTAATGCATTTATCTGGTTTAGTGGGAGATACATTGATCTAGCATATATGCATTTTTTTTATTTTGTATAGAATCCTTATCAATATTTTGTTAAATACCAATTCTCTTTCAGTGAAATTCCAACACAGTCAAAATGCGTATTTTTTTAATTTTTTTTATATGTTTATTCACAATGTACAGTAATTAGAGAAGGATGGCTGATTGGGATACCATGAGATTTTTTCCCTGACCTTCCAGTTCTATTCTCCTCTTAAAAACTCTAGCAGTGCTTACTCTCTGCCAAGAACCCTCTGGTTAATCACGGTGTGGTCAAATTGAGTTTGTGATTGTGAAGGACTTCCCTGGTATCCTGGTATATTATTTAGCAAACTTTGAAATGTGGAGAAATGAAAAAGAATTTGCAAGTTTAAAGCCCAAACCAAAAAAAAAAAAAAATGGCAAAATGATCTAGTTCAAAAATAAATGTTTCCATCAGTCTTAAATCTGGTCAATTCTTTACAATTCCTAGTATAGTGCATAAACCCTAAGATGAGATCAAATTGTGTTGGGCATCAAATTGCGTCTTTGCCTAGGTTGATATAAATCATTACACCACCCTGACTTTTGGAATGCTTCCTAAATGTCTATAGGTAGAATAGAATCTATTGGAGAAATAGAAACCTAAATCTACAGAGTTCCAGCCAAATCACTTGACCACGGAAACAATTAAATCTTAATCACGAAATGGCTGTAAATCTTCTCTTTTCTCTTCACTAGCCTATCGATATGACATGATCTAAGCATGTTTATTATAATATACATTCCACATGCAACAGTTATGCAACTGTTGAATAACTATGCATGGTATGCTTATACTTTGCTTGTAAGTGCTGAAATTTGTTTACCAATGTCTTCTTTTTAATTGTATGTTATAGGCAGGAACTAATGGATACATGGCTCCAGAAATCCTAAAGGATAAATATTCTATCTTTACGAAATGCTATTTTTTCAGGGAGAAGTGACAGTGCCATTTTGAGCTGTCCCTCCTCCCCTACCAATACTCATAGAGAAGGTATGTTTCTTTATCAGAACAGAATATGGAAAATTATTTATCAGATCGGAAAAAAATAATTATATCGGCATTTGAATGGTAGGATTGAAATCAGGAAGATCTGATTTAATCCTTGACCTTAGATGTATCTGGTGACATCACTAAATTATTGCACACACCTCTGGATACCATACCTGGGTTATCACTGACAATTAAGTTATTAAAAAGCAGTAAACGCACCTGTCAGGTAAGCTGGCCTCACACTCGTAGAACTTCTTGTTCAAAGCCCGGATACTCAGGGCACCCTGTCTCAGCATCACTGCCGATGCCACTCCTGTTTTTTCAGCTTGTTTATTTCCATCAGCATCAAAACCATCGGATCTCATGTGGCTTCTGCAAGATGTTAGTTATAGCGTCAGTAAAGTTAAATCAAGGCCTTACACATGGAGGATAGACAAATAGAAAGTGAGACAGACAGAAAAAAAAAATTGAGTGTACGGATGTGACTTGAAACATTTAAAAAAAAAATTTAAAAAATGAAAATAAGTTATTTGGCCTTTCCACTGGCAGCAACTGTGTTCAACAAACTTACTTGTCATTATCAAATTCTTCGGGATATAACTCCTTGTAGCCATTGTGATCCCACCTAGATGAAAGGAAGATCGTGACACACAACAACTAGGAGAGTATGGGAAGATAAAACGTCATACACTGAGGAATCTAAATGAAAGGTAAAGAACAAAATGTAAACGAAGATGGTAAAGCAAGTAAATAGAGAAAAGGCATTCCCTGCAAAGGTTACCACAATCGGGAAATTTTAAATATGAATGGTTTGGAGAGGCTGAAAGGAAACAGAGCAACAGAACAAGTAAATCCCACATCAAACGTTTTGTTTAAAATAATTACATAAATCTTTGCCATAAATACGGTCCATGCTAATGGCACATAAAGCACTAGGTTTAACGTATCTTCCCACAAAAAGTATCAGAGTACATTTTTCCAGGTGTGGAATAACCATAAAGTATTCTATGTCGTCAACATTCATTATGTAACAATATTTAAACAAACATCCAAATTCACAGCTAAAACAGATGCACTGATGTGCCACATGCCCCCATGGTTACACATTTCAGCATCTTCTGCATCTACCCCAATTCAATAAGTGTTTTGTGCCTAATTTCATAAATTCCTAGGATGGTCACTGCACACATCTAAACTCAGATGTCAACTAATAGAATGTGACGGCAGATAAGAACCATTTGGCCCATCTAGCCTACCCAATTTTCTAAATACTATAGAAACATAGAATGTGACGGCAGATAAGAACCATTTGGCCCATCTCAATATGCTAACTGATACAGTTAATGCAGTACAATCAATAATTAGCTTTATGCACAGAAAAATATAACATTATTTGTAAAAATAAGTTCATCTAAATTAGTGGTTCCTAAACCAGTCCTCATAGCCCACCAACAATCTAGGACTAATGTATTTATGTGTTTCTCTTTATTATTCCAATGGAGATACTGACAAAACCTGGACTGTTGGTTGGTCGCAAGGACTGCTTTGGGAACAAATGCTCTAAATGGTTAAACTCCTATAAAATGTTTTTCTATTCTTTTCCTACTCTTTCTAGACTATCCTTACCCTCTCTAAATTAAATAAAAATTACTAGGAAATGAATCCTACAAAAACAGCTGTAAACTGGAATGCAAATCATTGATGATAGCATTAAATTAGAATACCAACCGGTTTGGCTCTGGTGATGTTCTTCTCCGCTTTGTACCATAATCATCTTGTGCCTGCTTCTCCATTTCTCGAATTTTCCACATTTCAGATTCTTCTTGAATCTATCAAAAGATAATGGCGACAAATAGTAAGGACAAAAAATAGTAAGGAGCTCACGCAGGTTGCAGATTTAATGGTCTTATTCTTTGCAACTCCCTCTTTAATTCCCTTTATACAAATAATCTATTTTAATGTTAGACATGCAACGTAAGATTTAAATAAAATAGAACTTATAATAAAACAAACACCCTTTTAAAATGTACTTATCTCAAAACTTACTTTATTTTTAAATACTAAGGCGACTTATAAAAATCAAATTATACATTATTTTTTGAATCCTAAAATAACACCAACATCAAAATAAATTTTAAAAGTGACCAATTCAGTCACATTTCATAATATATATATATTTGGGGTGTGGGACTTCTTATCTCAATCTCTGTTAACAGCCTGCAGCAGCTTAATGTGTCTGATTAAAGTTCAATTGACAGAGCTGGAGATAATAACTTCTAAAGTAAACACAATGTGCTATAAGATCTGATTGAAAATGAAACCAATTTTCACGGTATTTATAGACCTATATATAGACAGACTTTGTGACTTGATGGTTCATTGCACCAGATTCAGGAAGCCATCTCTGTCTCTGGAACTATATACTATATTGTATAATGTTTTTACTTACTAAGCTTTAAATAAAGCATATAATTGTCTAAAGATTTATACTTTTATTTACCTTTGCACTTACTATCATCGTTCCTGCATTCTCAAAGAGGGTGGTATGGTTCCTAACCATACTTTGCTGTTCCACTGAGCCAATTCATAGGCTCTGGGCTTATACCAGAAACTATAATTTTACATAAGGAAACCCTAAACCACTCTTCAAAGGAAAAAGGGGAAGGTCGTCAAAACTGGCCTACTGGCCAATATTCCCAGAGCTAGGTTATAGCTCTGGAACATGTGAGTTCCCCATTATTTTGTGTATTATATTTGTGTACATAAGGGTACTACACTATTTTCTGTTATTTATATTTATTTTAAAAGGTATATACGACACGGGACTGCTCAAGAAACAGAAGTGAACGGTATAGAAACATTTTCTGTTTTCACTAGGTGTATTATTTATTCATTATCACAATATAAGCGCCCCACTGTATTTGGTATAAAATAAGAATGTGCTATAAAATCGGATCGAAAATGAAACCAATTTTTTCATGAAGAGTGTGTGAGGCACAGGCAGGGGAGGTGTGACTTGGGCTGCATAAACAGTGCTGTTCTCTGCACATTCCCCCATCTTAAGAAATATAACCTTGTTGTGGGCATCAGTGTGGCGGATGACATTTCGAAGAAGAACTTTTCCAAGAGGAACACGAGACATCTTATTGCCTGCAAAAAGAAAACTCAAATAAATGCGATTGACACAAAAATGTCTATGAAGCACTTTATAAATATAGAATTGTAAACTTAAGTTTATTATTTATTTGGTTACAAATCATATCCAAAAAAAAAATTATGGTCTAAAGCATTAGTAAACATTTTTATGAATAAAAAAAAATTACATTTTTTTTTTTTTTACAGAATTTAGAAGGTATGTAGAAATTTGCAGCAGTTCATGGTGCCTGGTTTTGGGGAGGGTTGGTGTCTATCTCTATCAAGCTTTAAAGGACCACTATAGTGCCAGGAAAACATACTCGTTTTCCTGGCACTATAGTGCCCTGAGGGTGCCCCCACCCTCAGGGACCCCCTCCCGCCCGGCTCTGGAAGGGGGAAAGGGGTTTAAACTTACCTTTTTTCAGCGCTGGGCGGAGAGCTCTCCTCCTCTCTCCTCCTCCTCCTCAAGAGCTGCGCAAGCATTCAGCCCGTCGCATAGGAAAGCATTTTCAATGCTTTCCTATGGACGCTTATGCGTTCTCTCACTGTGAAAATCACAGTGAGAAGCACGCAAGCCTCTAGTGGCTGTCAATGAGACAGCCACTAGAGGATTGGGGGAAGGCTTAACCCATTCATAATTATAGCAGTTTCTCTGAAACTGCTATAATTATGAAAAATGGGTTAACCCTAGTTGGACCTGGCACCCAGACCACTTCATTAAGCTGAAGTGGTCTGGGTGCCTAGAGTGGTCCTTTAATCTGACAGCACCTGTTGTATTATTAATGTCGCTCATGTTGGCCACAGATGTCAATCATGGACTTTTGTTAAACTCCAGTGGGAGTTCACAACTACCTCACTAGGGCTGAATTTTCACTTGCCAATGGCTAACAGGTGAGCGGGAATTCTGGCCCCTAAATTAAATACATACAGTATGTTCACATCATCAAAACAAAAATTAACAACGCAGAAAACATTTTTAAAAATGTAAGCTGCAAAACCCAGGGTGTATTAAATTGTTGATTCCCTTAGAATCTATCATAAAAATATAGTTTATCTGCAATCTAAGGCAGACATGATAAAATTTGTATTTAAAGGGATACTCTATGCCCCATAATCATCGGAAACTGTATCACTGTAAGCTTATGGGCGGTCTTTTACCATACATTCCTTGTAGGAAGTGCTGCAGGCGAATGATTGATGGATGGAAAGATTCTCTCTACTCCATTTATATAATTTGATCTATAAACCCGAATTTGCTTATTTTGTAAAATGCTCTGGAGAACAGTTGTAAAATAAATAAATTGTAGTGGGTGTGGATCATTAAATCTTTGGATACCATACCATTTTTCTGTTAAGCCCTTTTCGAGTAGTTGGACAAAAATAGAATTTTCCAGGGCTCCCAAAGCCCAGTCCTACTATAACTACTTTAGTTACACTTTGGCATTATCTGCCCAAAGCTGTACAGCAATGGATGGCAAAGACAGAGTGAAAGTGTTGGACTACCCTGTCCTCCAGAATTCTCAGCCTATTACTGCCAATGCCAGGCAGCTATGGACGGATAAAGTAGTTTTGTAACTTTATTATCTGAGTCGCTGCAAAAGAACATCTGATATGGTTTCAAAACTCAATGCACCATAATCAGTGCAACAACTTGTAATATTTAGAGTGACCCATATTTTTTCTGCCTCACCCATGTTTGTGCATATAAATTCCTGAAATGTAAAGATTCATATTGAATAGTTCCAAGTATGAGGTTTTCAGATTATACACCCAACATAGTTATTGGCTGCCAGGTATGCTATATCTGCTATTTACAGTCCAAGATCGTTTAGTTGTTAAAATTGTGAGACAGTAGGATGAATACTGTATGCGTAAACGGGCAGTCCAGGCTGCTATAACCATTACAACACACTGTGGTAGCTATGGTGCCACAGTACCCACAGTAAGTAGTCAAACGTTTTTTGAATAGCCCCACCATATGCAGCAATACGTTCAGTGTAGTCTATGCATCATCACCTTTGCAATTATGTAAAGTTCTAATGGTGGTTAAAATGACCCTATAAAGGAATATTTGTGGAGGAACTAATGCACTCGCAGAGCTAGCTGTGCATGTGCATATGCCCACCCTGCACGGAGGAGACAGCGCGCCAACCCATGACAAGGGAGATTGGCGTTGGAATCAGGTGACTGCACAATGGGATTTTAACCCTTTTGATGTTGTGGGGCACGTGGGAGCGGGTAGCCACTAACACCTAAATGGCAGAGAATTTAGCAATGAGACAGTAGGGGAATTATCTATACACCAAAACTGCTTCATTAAGCTAAAGTTGTTTTGGTTCTTAGAGTATGGCTTTCGTGGCAATACCTACAAAATAAATATTACACTTTGCATCTTCAATTGGGGTATCTGAAAGCTATTCCCATGCTGCTCAGCCAAAAAGGGGTGGCAAATAGCTAACCCCACCTGTTAAAGCATCATGGGAGTTGTAGTTATACAGTTAGATTTTACTTTTTTCAGATTTTTCCTGCCCTGAGGTAAAGCTAAGAAATCACTTCAGCTCAGTGATGGCACCTGCCAGCCTCTATGGACCAGCAATCCCATAATGCTAAGCCAACCCCATAACCTCCTAAGGGTTACTTTTCCAATAACCATAGTTAGATTAATTACCAGAACATAAACACTACAACCAGCAGTCAAAGATCCATGTGGCAGCCACAATGTGTCCCACTGGGTATCCCCTGGGTTATACAGATTTATTGTTATATAATTATATCAGAGTGCCAAACGTCAGACCCTCCAGCTGTGTAGAACTACAACTCCCATCATGCTTTGCCACCCTCAAGCACCATAGGAAATGCAGTGTTATAACAGCTGTCCCCCCTTTATAAAGTAGTCCATGTGTCAAACTCTCAGAGGCCTCGCTCAGCCTCCACTCTCTGACCTCCCTGCCTGCCTGCCAGCCTCCACTCTCTGACCTCCCTCCCTGCCAGCCTCCCTCCACTCTCTGACCTCCCTGCCTGCCAGCCTCCCTCCACTCTCTGACCTCCCTGCCTGCCAGCCTCCCTCCACTCTCTGACCTCCCTCCCTGCCAGCCTCCCTCCACTCTCTGACCTCCCTCCCTGCCA